TATCGATTTCAATAACCTGTGATCCAATTTTATCGATTTTTAGCTCATTAGATTCCTCTCGTCGAGGCGAACATTTCGGTAGTTGTTTCATCCAGATTGGACATCTCTACGCCATGTTATTAAATAAATAAAAAAAGGAATGTGGGAAAATTAAGGTAGATTTTTTAATCCGGATTATATAAATTTTTGAAAAGTAATCCGTCAATCCGTGATATCACGGATAATCCGTCGGATTGACGGATTGGTCATCCACAGATCACATCTCTAATTCATATAGCATTGTAGCTATTTTTATTTAATTCCTGATGTTGTTTTAATATGCTAATTCCATTAGGTATCACTTGTTTTAAATAAAATTAAAGCATTTTTTATAAAAAATTATTTTGACTTTTAGATTTCAAAATATTTCAACTTATTATGGTAACTTATTTTGTGTAATAGTATAATCTGGATATTTTTCAATGCAAAAAAATCTAAATAAATTTGCATATATTTACATATATTCAGATTTCACTATACTGAAAATATTTGAATATTTTTATCTGAATATTTTCAATTTTGAATATATACAAAAATATTTGTAAATTTAGATGAATATTTGAATATTATATGGATAAATTAATAAGACATTTAATAATAATGTCAAGCAGATCTTTAATTATATAAATCTAAATCTGATAATTTATTTTTTTTTAAAAAAAAATATCCTCTTCATTTGTTATGAGTTTTTTTTTGAGATTTTCTAATTGATTCAACTGTTTGTAAAAAAATTAATATATTGAAATAGTTGACATAATATTTGATTTGATGTTAGTGAAATATTTGATTTATATGTGTTGTGATTTCTGATTGATTTTGTTTTGAAGATCTTTAACTTTAGTTATTACTATTTCTTTTTTTTTCTTTTCTTCTGCTTTTTGTGATATCTCAATTTCTTGATAATCAGTATTTGTTAATTCTTTAACAATATAAAATAATTGATATACCATTGGTGTTTGACATTCAAAAGCTATAAACTAAAGAATCAATAAATTTACCAACTAATAATTCACCTTTTTCCCGTTCAGATTGGGATGCCTTTATTTTTGCTTTTATTTGCTTTTTTTAGAGTTTTTTATTATCATAAATAAATATTTCCGGTCAAATTTTCTTTAATAAACTTTACACCAAAAGTTTTTTTTTAATGCGTTTACAGATTATTGACATTTAACTGTTAATTAATAACAATTCTTAATCATCAATTGGAATAAAACCAGGCAACTGTTCTATTCTGCGCAACCATGATCTTATTATTGGAAAGCTATCAATAGAATATCCAGCTATAAATAAAGATTAAATAAAGATTAAATAAATAAATAAATATAATAAATAAATATAATAAATGAATAAATAAATAATTAATTAATTAAATAAAAATATAATTAAAAAAATATAATTAATAATATATAATTAATAATTAATAATAAATATACAAAATATAATTAATATAATTAAATATTATAAATAATTAGAATAAATAAAATAATTTAATAATTACCTTCTTCACAAATATGAGTATTAGCGTATAAAGCAATATCGGCAATAGTAAATTTATCATCTACAAAAAATTCTTTATCCTTTAAATGAGTTTCCATCAAATTTAAAGCTTCATATCCCAATTTTTGTTTTTCCACAATTTGATCTAAATATTTTGGATCATCCCCTAAATTTAAATAGGTTACCCACCAACGTAATGGTAAAATATTTGGGATTAAAGAGAATTGTTCCCAAAATAACCATTGCATTATTTTAGCATTATGAATTGGATTTGAAGAAGATGATGGAAATAAAGGTGTTCCTTCCGAAATAAAAGTTAATATCGCATTAGATTCGGTAAGTGTTATTCCATCCTCGGGAATTTTATTTGGATCATCATCATAATAATTATAATTATTATTATTTGGATTATTTAAATCACGTTTTCGATAATCTTTTGGTATAATTAAAACTGGTAATTTGCCATTTAATGATATATCATTAAGAAATTCTTCTGTTCTGGTTTCTCCTTTCTTTATATTCATTTCTACTCGGTTATACGGAATTCGAAGTAATGAAAATAATAACCGGATCTACAAGAAAAACAAAGTATTACGGTCAGTATAAAAAAATATATTTAATTATTGTAATATTGTAATATTTTTATTTACCTTATAACAATTCCCTGATTTCGAATAATCATATAATGTAATCATTATTTCTTATTTATTTATTTAAACAGTAAAGTTCGTTCATTTATCTACTGATGATGATGATGATGATGATGATGATGATGATGATAATGATGATAATGATGTATGATGATGTGTATAATTTTTTTTATGCCTATTATTATATTTTTATGTATATTTATTAGCCACACGTTACTATAAGAATATATATTATATATAGTAAAAAAATCTATTGTTAATCAATTGTTGAATCTTGTGTAACTGTTACATATTAACATTGTTTAATATTGTGGCTAAGGAAATCATAAATACTCTTTAAATTTATTTTAATCAAGTAGAAAATGGATTTTTCAACTGAAGTTGGTACTAATCGAGAAAGTTCACCTGAACCTGTCATCGAATCCGGGAATAATAATAAGAATAACAGCAATAACAGTAATAATAAAAGTAAAGCTCGTAGTCTTAAAGGTTCTCGAAATAATGGACTTAAAGGCATTAATAAACGTACTCAAAAAAACAAAGACATTAATAAATCTATTAAGACCGTAAAGTCTCGTAATAATAAAGATATCGCTCGTGCTATGAAAGATTCTGAACCAGTCATAGCTTATCAACCCGACGAACCACCTAGGGAAGAACTTCCTTACACAAAATTTTTCCCGGATTTAGATCCCGAAGAACAACTTTTGCGGGTTTATGCTTCTGATAGTGATTCCGAAATAGAAAAGGCAGAAAAGGTAGAAAAGGTGGAAAATGTAGAAAATATAGAAAACGTAGAAAAAGCAGAAAAATTAGAAAAAGTAGATAAAGCTCAGAAATCAAGTCCACAGCCTCGAGATATAGATGAAGATATAGTACAAGAAGATGAACAAGATCAACAAAATCAAGTAATTGTTGCTTCTTTTTCTTCTTCTTCTTCTTTAAAGAAATCAGAAATAAATAAAATACATATGGATAATAAAATTGATAATAATAATAATAATAATAAAAGTGATAATAAAATTAATATTATTAAGACTACAAAATCAACTCAAATGGAAATAAATAATGATCAAGATATTTCCGAAGAAGAAGAAACAAAAATTGAAAGCAACATTAAAACCAAAGCTAAAACTAAAACTACCACCACCACCACTACTACTACTACCACCACTGCTTCTACTATTTCTGCTACTATTTCTACTACTACTGCTAATAATAATATAACTACCAATAATGTAATCGCCAGTGATATAACCAATAATGTGACAACTATTAAATTATCCACCAAGAATGTTTCAGAAATCTCTAATAATAATAATCTTCACAATAATAATAATAATAATAATAATAATAATAATAATCATAATAATCATAATAATAATAATAATGAATCATTGACAAAAGTATCGATGAAAAAATTACCAACACCTTCTTTTAGACGTATAAATTATACGAAGGTAGACAGTAACAGTAAACCATATCAAAGACCTGAAGGGCATTATTTAAGATATAATGGTTAGTTTTATCATTTAGATTATTTTAATTGTCAAAAAAAAAAAACTATAATAATAATTTATTTATAAAATACAAAATATACTAATCCGTTTTTAGAACCAGATGAAAGAATACTCGCTGATCGTGTTGAATATGATATGGACGAACAGGGTAATCAATTAATTATCATTACCTGCCGAAAAAGGGTTTTTTTTAAAAAAAAAAAAAGATTGCTAATCAATTAATACTTTTAAAAAAGATGACATATGGCTTAAAGCACTCAATTATGAACGTAAAAAGGAAGATTTGGGAGAACTTGGTGCAGATCTTTTTGAGAAATTAATTGATCGTTTGGAGAAAGCATGGTTTGATTTGGTAAATAAAAAATGATGATAGATAGATAGATGAATAGATAAACGGAATGATACTTTATTTTTCATTTTTTTACTTTCCATTTTTTTTCATTTAGACAAAAAATTTACCAAAGGGACAAGGAGATAAAGATAATCTCACCCCCGAAGATTCAGCTTGTGCAATATGTGATGATGGAGAATGTGAAAATAGTAATGCAATCGTATTTTGTGATGGTTGTAATCTTGCTGTTCATCAAGGTAATAATAATGTAATAATAATAATAATAATAATAATAATAATAATAATTAATTTATTGATATAATCTTAATATATTATAATTAGATTGTTACGGTATACCATATATTCCTGAAGGTCAATGGTTATGTCGTAAATGTATCGTCTCTCCTGAAACTCCAGTTGTATGTTTGTTATTTAAATTACATTAAATTCTATTCTATTCTATTATATTATTTAAATTTTTTTAATTTCTTAATTTTTTCAGTCATGCATATTTTGTCCCAATGAAGGTGGCGCATTTAAAAAAACAAATACTAATCGTTGGGCTCACTTACTTTGTGCTCTATGGATTCCCGAAGTTGGTTTATCAAATACGGTTTATATGGAACCAATTGATAATATTGAAGGAATTCCACGTGGTCGATGGAAATTGGTTAATTATTATTATTATTATTATTATTATGATTATGATTATGATTATGATTATTATTATTATTATTATGATTATGATTATTATTAGTATTTATTTTATTTATTTATTTTTATCTTTAATTTATTATTTTTATTTTTATCTTTTATTTATATATATTTTATCTTTTATTTAAATTTTAGAAATGTTACATTTGTGAGAAAAGAATGGGAGCATGTATTCAATGTCAAAACGCTCATTGTTGTACGGCTTTCCATGTCACATGCGCGAGAAAGGCTAAACTTTGTATGCGAATGAAATTCCCTGATTTTCATAATGAATCTTATCAAATGAAGGCATATTGTGATAAACATACACCGGTAAAGTTATTTAAAATTATTTTAAAATTATTTTAAGATTATTACTTTAATAACTTGATATAAAATAATCATCATTATCTTTTTGTAATATTTTAGCGTGATTATAAGGAACAGGTTGATGTCACCACCACAGTAATAGCTGCACAAAAATTATTAATGAATGATGATGTACCAGTTTCTAAAAAAAGTAGAGTGGAAATTGATATTGATGAAAATGACGATGATGAAGATGAATATGTTCCAAGTGAATATGATGATGAAGATGATGAATATGATGATGATTATTATGAAGATGAAAATTTAGATGATATTGTGATTTCTCGTAAATCTAAAAAAAATAATAATCATCATCATTTGGAAACTCAAAGGAAATCTACTAAAATTCAATATTCACGAGAATCTGAAAGATTTATTGAAATTTCAAAAAATAATAATAATTATAATAATTATGGCAACAATAATAATAATAATAATAATAATATTAATAAATCTTCAGAAGGTCAAAGTTCTAAATCTGCAAGAGCCTATAATCATTCATATTCTGAAACTGCACCAATTGCTCCCGCAATTATCATCGATAAACTTTTACCCATTTTATCTAATCAAAAAGGATCAATTAAGAAAAAACAAGAACTCGTTGCCACAATTTGTAAATATTGGTCATTAAAACGGGAATCTAGGCGTGGAGCTCCTTTATTAAAGAGACTTCATCTCGAAGTAAGTAAATAAATAAATAAATTAATCATATTTTTCAAATATTCATTTAAGTGTTCTTGATTAATCATACCAATTCTCTTTTTATTGATCACCAATTGAATGTATAGCCATGGACTGCTTCAGCTTCAGCTCATAAGCAATCTGATAAAGAAAAATTCTGTAAATTCATGGTAAATACAATCATTTATAATAATAAATATTATATTATATTATATTATTTATTTATTTCACAATTATAATTAATTAATTAATTCATTATTTATTTATTTATTTATTTATCGGTTATTATTCATTTATTTGTTATTTATTTATTTGTTTATTATTTATTTATTTATTTTTTTTTTTTTTTTTATTTGTTTGCTTATTTATTTATTATTTATTTATTTATTTATTATTTTGTAGGGTATGCGACAACTTCGTAAAGATTTAGAAAAAATAAGGCTATTAATCGACTGTGTACACAGACGGGAAAAGGCGAAACTAAAAAGAAATAGATTGATAACGCAATATCTTGAAACTGTACTTTTCCCTCTCGATTACATCCTTTCTCCGGTTATTGAAGAAATCATAAGGTATTATTATTTAAAATTCTTAAAATTATTATAGATCATTCGCTAAACGTAATTCATAAAAAATATATATCCTAATCATTACTTCTTCATTTATATATATATATAATAGTCATGACAAGCAAGAAATATTTGTCAAGCCTGTTACCGAAGATGATGCACCTGATTATTCTTTGCATATCAAGCATCCCATGGATCTTGGAACTATCAAGAAGAAAATCGAGACTCATGAATATAGTTTAGGTCCGGGTATGCAAGAATTCGAGGTAATAAAAAAAAATTAATTCTTATATCAAATTATAATTATTATTATTATTATTATTATTATTATTATTATTATTATTATTATTAATTATTATTTTTATTAGCACGATCTGGAATTGACTTTCCAGAATGCCATGACCTATAATACTTCGAATACAGTTTACTATAGGAACGCAAAAAGAATGTATCAACTTTGTAAACCTATTGTAGAAAAAGCAAAGAGAGATTATGCCGGGTTACAAGTTGATCCTAAAAAAGGGATCTTAAATGTTAAAATTCATCCTGAAGTTTTCACTTACAATTCGAAACCTTTAATATTTCCTCAAAAAGAAAAAGAAATAACAAAATCTTCAACTTCAACTACTTCTCGATCAAATCGTTCTAATAAGAAAGAGGTTGATGGGACATCATCATCACCTCATCCCATTCATAAAACGAGAGAAACTCGTTCAACTACTGCTGCCAAACGTAAGAAAAATAAAAGATCTTTGACAAAAGAGGTTAAACCTAAAGCTCCAAAAGGGTGGGCATATGTCACTGAAGATGAAGGTGATGACGATGATGTTATAGTTGATATTGTTGGTGATTATGAAGATTCCAATGTTGCTGATGATGAAGCTACGGTTTCATCAAGAACAAGATCTCGAAATCAAAATCAAACAGTTCCCGATTCACAACCTAAAATAATAAAAGGAAATGTTGGTAGATTCCCGAAAACAAGTTTACAAAGACCTATTAGAGGAGTTAGGAAGAAGCAATCTGTTAAACCATCTAATGATAATTTAGATAAATCATCTAAAGATAATATAGATAAATCATCTAAAGATAATTTAGATAAACCAGAAAAATCAATAAATGATGTAGTAGATAAACCTGAAGTCAGTTCTACGGAATCTTCGCAAACTTACCCTGACGAAAAATATAAAGTAATTAAGGAACAACTTGAGAATACGTTGAAAGTAGTACAAGAAGAGTCAGAAAAACCTGCTGGTAATATTTAGAAATTATGTTCAAAAATCATGTTATAATTTATAAGTGTTGTGACGCATAGGGTGTAATATATTATTTAACATTGTTTGTTTTACTTACTAGCTAGTCGTACCCGTTCTCGTAGTATGAGGAAAAATGATGAATCTATTACTTCAATTGAAGAAATTAAAAGAGACAATTTATCTCCTATGGATTCTAATGTAGAATTAATGCGGTTGAGTCGTAATGGTTCTACTACTTCATCCGTCGTTGAAAATCATAATATTACTTATGGAACTTTGGTTTGGGCCAAAATGACCGGATTTCCTTGGTATCCTGCTGAGGTATAAATAACTTTATTATCTTCATTTATGAATGAATAAAACGTATTATATTTATATATATATATATATATATTTGTATATATATTTTATATATAGGTGTCAGATCCAAATAGTCCTGAAGTTACTGATACTATAAGATCTGACAAAAAAGAAGGAGATAGTTACTTGGTTCACTTCTTTGATGAAAAGAAAGGAAAAAGGCGTAGTTGGTATATATACATATATATATATTTATTTATTTATTTATTTATTATTTTTATTACTCGTTATCTTTGTACTAAATATTTGTGTTATTTTTTTTTTCTTTAATTAACATAGGAAATGGGTTCCCGCAAGTAAAGTTGCTCTCATTGGTGATCCCAAATTTGATATAGCTAAAATAAAAGATAGGACTATGAAAGAAAATATGAAAAAAGAAGTTCCTATAGCGTATCGAGCTGCTTGTATTTCTAAAGGGATTGATCCCATTGCTTTACAACAACTTTCCGCAACAGCAACTACTACTAGTAGTTCTACTAATGCTACTTCCGCTGCTACTGCCACTACCATTACTACTAGACAACCTCCCAAAAAGGGTAGTCGTAGATAAAGATTTAATATTATAAAACTTTCGTTGTCATCATCATTCATCATTCATCATCATCAATATCATAAAAATTTTTTTTTATTTCACAAATAATTGGTGGCCTGTGTAATTCTAAAAAATATTGTAACAATTGGTTTAAATTAATGCTTATTTTTTTTTTTTTAAAAAAAAAAAAAAAAGATAAATTATTTTGAAAGTTTTGGATTTCAACTCTGAATTTTTTATCCATATTAAAAATTTGTAAAAAATTTCTAAATCGATCAATATCGTTAATTTTTTATTATATTTAAATAATAAATAAGAACACATTATATATATTCGCGTTTCAATTTATAATTTTCTTTCGGGTGACGACGAGTAGATTTTTTACTTTAGTTGATTTTCCTTATTTTTTTTATATAACTTTATATTTACTAATGTAATTTTTATGGTTATTTTCAATAAAGTAAGGATGATCAGATATAAACTACTGGGAAATAGCCAATAAATATGCACTAATTTGGCTAACTTTTAAGGCCCCTACTTATGTGAGAACCGATCCTCACGGGATAGACAAGGAATTAGCCTCATCCAAACCCAAATATTATTAAATGTTATCCCATACACAATGAGAACCGATTCTCATTCACTAGGATAGATAAAATATTGCTCACAACAAAAAGGCTGCCTACCAACAATTCACCATAATATCAAGTGTAATATAGAAAAAAAAAATATTAAATCAATATCTTACCTTCCTGTATTTAAAAAAAAAATACTGATTATAAACCTCTTTTTTTTTGAACTTGGGTAATTATTCAAAATCCAACTTTCATAAGGTTTCAAATGACCATTCGTTGAAAGAAAAGGTATAATATAGCCACTTCAAATTTTTTTTTACGTCTTGAAGAACAGGAATAAGTTTTTCACTTGACAATTTCCCTATAAAGAAAGGAGTTAAATAAGTTATACAATAAACTGATAGAATACCAAATGCATATACATACCAGTATTAATTTCGGTGATTAAACTTAGAAGTGTTACGGTAGGGGTCACCTTTATTTGACAGTTGATTAAATCTCTTTTTTCTTAATAGAAGAATGTTAAAACCCGAAATTTTTAGATTTCTCAAAAGTGTAATTCTTGATTTTTATTAATTTTTCGGTATTCCATTTTTTTTAATAATATTATCAAGTAAACTAATAGGCTTTTTAATGTTTAAGACAAGTAAAATGTAAATCGCCCATCTTTTACGCGACTTTATCGTATATAAAATTATATTACATAAGCGTATATCTGACAATCGATATCTGTCTGTAGTGTAATTATTGTCATGTGTTCTTTATCTCCTTTTTCAAGTTTTTTTGATGTTCTTATATTTAAAATATCAAAAACGTAATTTTGGTTTCACCCGACACGCTCTTCGCTATACTCCACATGCTCCGGACAAAAATATCAAAAACGTAATTTTGGTTTACCCTAATCGTCCGTAAGGGTCCTCAATATTCATATAAGTCCTTTTTTAATAAATATTTAATATTTGATTAACTAATTGTGTAAATCTAAATCGATTATTGATGTTAACTACTTGACTAAATAAGTAAATATTACATTGATTATTTTTTTGATCGATCATGCTATTACGAATGAAATGAAAGTACATAATAATTATAATGATAAAAGAAGATAATTATGTATCTATGTCGTCACAGGGGAACGGTGCTTATATATTAAAAATTTTTACTCAAGTAGTTAACATTAACCAAAAACCACAAAAATGAATTGCTTTAATTGCCTTTTATTTCTTTTTATATTTCAGTTAATACTCATCGCTTACTTTTTCATAATTGGTTCAATTTTCGTGTTCTCACCTATTTTGATTCCGTTTTTTGGTATATTCTTTAATGCAATGAAAAGAACAAATAAATTTTGCGAAAACTATATACTAATATCGAGCATTATCTCATTAGGCTTTACATTTTATATAAAACTATTAAAATAATTGAAGAAAAAAATCAACCTGAAACGCTCAAAAGCCTTCTTAAATACCAGTACAAGCCTGACCAGGCAAACAGATTTCTTGGTACGGTTCATATTTTTTTTTATAGTATAATGGCAACACATGCAGTAGTATTTTGATATTTACTTTCCTAACCTATTTTATAGATCGCATGGGCAATAACTTCAGGTGGCCTCTCTCGATGCCAGATTACCTCAGAAAGGACGCCTTCGTTAACATCGCTGATGTTCCATTTGAAGATGACAATGAAATTGGGTTCAACCTTCTATTTTTTTATGACGCACTTGATAAAGATAAATTTAGTGGACATGAACATGAGTGGGTGACAGTGTATAAACAAAAGGTAATAGAGTATGGGTCGAGGTATGGTGATGATTAACGTTCTGTTGATGGCGTCGATTACAAGGTTTGAATACATACCCAATTATAGCTTTGGAGAATTAATTATATTATTATGAAATTTAGTTAGTAAAGTATTTTAAAGTTAATTTAGCAATCTTTCAAATAAAAAAAAGGTTAAAGTTCGTGTTATAAGACCTGGTGAAAACTTAATTTTTCAACTTGAATGTGATTTCTATGATATTAAGTGTAACAACAAAAAGCATACGTGTGTGATCGACACAGGTGCTCCTCAGACTATTATATTAAAAAAAGACTTGGAAAAAGGGGATGGAGTTCAATCAAATCAAGAGCCGAAGACTACGGAGCACCTGCAGTTCTAATTTGTGCGTCTAAAATGTTTGAAGTATCTATCGGTAATCATAACAACTGGATCAAGTGGGTCCAAGCAAAGATTTTACTCTGGGAGGAAGATCCTGGATATCAGGTTCAATGTGCTCTTATTGGTACTGATGTCACTGACCAACTCGCGAGTCAAGTCAACCAATGAAGTTTATAGATATTGGAGATGAACCCAATTTTTGATGGGACGGGCTTGATCAAAAGGTTATGATAAGATTTGAGATGGATCCGCTTCTTAATTTGATATGTTTTAGTAAAGCATGTTTTTTTTTAATGCGAAATTAATTGCCTCCGAACTGCGAAATAAATATTTAATGTATTTAATCATGTATAATTTATTATAATAAGTAATTTTGCATTAGTCGAAAGATAAAATTTCTTAAACATTAAATAGACAAAATAAAATCATTACTAAAATGCACTTTTCATCCTGATTTTCTTAAATACCGCATTTAAGTTATTTAATAAGACATAAGTCTCGAAGATCCTCTGGAAAAACTATATATGGGAGTAGTTACACATATCGGGTACCTGATATCTAAATTTTAATATATATCAGATACCTGACATATATATTGGATACCTGATACATGAATATTCATCATGCACATATCTGGTATCTGATATCTGCTGATTTATAATATTTCGATCTGTGTTTAGATATTATAGATATCAGCTCTACTATATAAATACTAATACCCGAGCTCGAGATTCCCAAAATTTCAGTGATTACCTGTCACCAAAATAATATATTCAGAATGATTCATTATCGACATCTATTCTTTGCAAAATACAACATTCTTGAAGAAATGGTTTGAGAATCCAATCTTTCTAAAATTGAATCACATATTCTAAAGTATATAGTTGATAAAATTTAATAGGTCTGAATTCTTAAAATAGGATATACATCATAAACTCTAAAAACACTATAGGTTACTTAATCATTAAATATGGTCTATACAGATAAATATCCAGTTTTGAGTGGTACTGAATGGAGAAATTATTGTTGATTACCAGTAATTCATAAGAACAAAACTCCATCTAATTGGAAAAAATAGATTTGGGGTCAATTGATGAATTATAAAAATAGTAGTCACTTGACTGGTGGAATGAAGTGGTACATTGTCACTAAAAAAATGAAATATTTATGGTGATCTTGGTCATGCTGTAGGTGTGAGTATAGCAATCTGTTATTCTTGTAATGAGCTCGTTTATTCTAAAATAGGATGTGGATATGAGTACAATTTTTCTCATTTTATAGATAAACATTGGAGCATGAATTGTACAGGAAACACTTATTGTGATATTAGTTATAAAGACTATATAGAACTTAAAAGCAGATCTGAAGCTAATCTTAGTAATTCCTACTTCGAAAAAGAAGCGATTCGTCATTATGAATTGTGGATGCAAAATGTCATTAGAAGAGTTAAACGTGCTAAAGAAATTGGTAAAAAGATCCGAGCTGTAAAGATCATATAACAGAAATGGTTAGAGATCTTTTACAAACCTGAAGGTATGTGTGCTATACGGTTAGCTGAACATTATAAATTATTATGGACGGTTTGAGAGGAAATACGTCAGGTTAACAATGTATAATACACATATAATAGATATATAACCAATCACAAATATAATGAATGTATAAAATACATATATTAATCTATTTATCAATGGAACTAATACCATTATTTTAATGAAAGTTTTTGATTCAGCTGTTGATATATTTTTTGTCTTGCATTTTTGCCTTAACTCTATCTCCTTTTGTAAATTTAACAGAGCAAAAGATCAAATACAAACTCACCTTTATGTAAATAACTATTAATAATATTTTTTACATCGTCAGTATATCACAAAAAGGTAAATCATATTTTTGATCATGGAATAATTATTTGTTTTACAATCTGCAGTTGTATGACTATCAAAATTTTCATAAAATGTCAGTCTTGTTGCGGGATTTTCTCACCTTATTTTACGTATTCTCCGATCAAGAATCTTTTTTCTAACTTCATAAAAAAGAAACAAAAAGATGATTAAGCTACCTCCTTGGGTATCTAAGTTCCTGGAAGAAGATATGGTGACACTAAATATGGGTTACAAGTCTGCTTCAAATGAGAATAATGTAATACCTGCATCAGGAAATTTTTTCTAGTGAAAACCTTCGAAAGTTAACGTTAACGTAAGTATTTCGCTATTTTTCGATATGT